ATATTGGCTCTATGCCTTGTTGCTATCTCAATATATCATATAAAGCCTATCCTTACTGGATGCTGTTACTGACCACCAAGTTCTAAAATGCTGGATATACAGATTGTGGACATTTAACTATAGAATCTATAGTTTAGTCAAATTTGTCACTATAGGTTGCCAACGCTATGGGTGGAACATACACTGAGAGGCGGCTTTCATCCCAGTTGGTTGCAGCGACCATACAACAACCAATTGCAATTACAAGAGGAAGGTCAAAAGCTTTTTTATGGAGAAGTGAGTAGTTTTGGTATGGCTGTCTCTAATAAACCAAAATCAAAAATAAATATTCTCTCATAGCAGTAAGAAAGGCCTCAGCTTCATAGGAAGAGCAAATGAGATGGCACCAAAATTGAAGCAAATACAACAAAATTAGAATCTTGTTCCAATATATTAAATAGATAGATAGATAGAAAGATACCAGTAGCGGCAAAAATAAAACATAAAAATTGATCCTTCTCAAAAGCTAACAATAGTAATAATCAGCAACAGCCCTTCAGGTCACAGCAGCAGAGATGGAGAAGTCTCTGGGTGGAGCAGGACGGGTCACGGGCTTGATATATGTCACTGTGTATCTAATGAGTCTATATCCTGTATTGGTTTCACATTTTAAATATCTAATAAATTAACCTGTGAACAATATTATAATTTTACAAGTTTCTCCTGAACTTCAGAGCAATAATTGTAAGGCAAGGCAAGTTTATTTATATAGCACAATTCATACTGTACACAAGGCAATTTAAAGTGCTGAACAAAATAAGAAAGCATTAAAATCATAAATAATCACAGAACATTAAAAAGAAAGCTAAAAATATAGAATCCCTCAGTTGTTTGCACAGCTAAACAGAGCTGTCTTTAACCTGGTTTTAAACATTGTCATTGAGGAGGCCTGTCTCACATATTCAGGAAGATTGTTCCAGATTTTAGCAGCATGAATCTGAAATGCAGCTTCCCCATGTTTAGTTCTGACTCTGGGCACTAACAGGAGTCCAGTCCCTGTGCTCCTCAGAGTCCGGGCTGGTTCGTATGGTACTAACATGTCACTAATATATTTTTGTAAGTCACAAAGCAAAGCAACTGAATTGATTGTTGATTGGGTATTGACTTCCATTCAATTAAGTGGAGGAAAAATGGTCTGTGGGCCACATAACAACCTGAATTGGGCCGTATGTTGCTCATGGGCCACAATTTTCCCAGGTCTGCACTCGAATCTGTCATAGGTCCCACTCATCTCTATTTTAATTGTATCCAGATTCTGCAGTATTTTAGCACTGAGGCCCTTTTGACTTTTACCTTTACTGATTCCATGTCCCCAGCTGTTTCTCACAAGGATTATCTAAGGAGAAATTTTATATGGGCCATTCATTCTGTAATATATCTATAAAGTCAGAATATAAAATAACAACGCAACTTCTCCTAGAGACATTATGACACCGCTTCGGACAGTTCAAAGTGCAAACTGTGAAAGAAAAGTTTGCTAACGTGATGTCAGAGTTTTGGCACAGGATCACTCCAAACTGACAATTTTAAGCACAAAACCCACAAAGTTATACATTTAAATACTTTTTGACCAAAGCAACACTGAAATCCATAGTTCACATCCACTGTCCAGCTTTATGAAATCTTTACATTGAAAAGAAAACCTGCAAAAAACGACGCCGCAGCTGTTGAGTGCTCCATGGTTTGCAGATGTCATGTCATAAATCTCTTGTATATTGACGGTCATGACTCCTGGTGACCCTCACTGGTCTCTGCTGAGTCCGAGTCACTGCAGTCCAATATTTATATGGTCATTTTTCAGCTGGTTGCTGAGCTGGAGCAAACAATTAAAATTCTTTGATGACGCATTACTTCAAATATGGCCCGTTTAATTACCTTTTCTCTTCTGCTAATGTGAGTTACTGAGTTGTTATGAAGACGTTTAAACCCAGATTGATTAACTGTCTGACACAGCACTTGTTGCATGAGCATGAAAAAAGCTATGTGCATGATGTTGATTCCAAGTCTACTGTCAGACTGGTCTACTGGAAACAAACACCAACGGATTCTTTGTCTGAACATGCACAAACATGCCATGTCACACTTACCTGAAATCCCTGTATTGCCTCACCTCTAAAAGGATGACTAGTATAACAAACATATTTCTACTCCAAAATATTCACAATAGATCGAGGTTTCATTCCTTAAAAAAATCCTGGATCCGGATCAACTCCAGAATCTAATCATTTGCCTCATTCCCGTACATGTCTTACAAATCCAGCCATAATCTCTTGAGTTATGTTGCAAACAGATAGACAGGGCTTTGCTATGTGGATTTTGCATGTTCTCTCTGTGTCTCTGTAGTTTTTCTCCGGGTGCTCTGGTTTCCCATATCACTAAAACATATGCAAATGGGTGGTTGATGCTGTCCGGCAGTGCAGTGTATAGCCCTAAATCACAACAGTAGCTATCTCGGAGGACTTTACAAGACTAGAAAATCAAACACAGGAAATGCAATTATAAAAAAACCACATTGGTCCATAAGAGACAGATGACCAATGTCCATAAATGTTGATAAAGTCCATAAATGTAGTTGAATGTCGGGTGTCCTGGATCTTCACCAGTACTAGTCATGTTATCATTATGTTTGGAGTGAGGGAGCCACATTGCTTTGTGGTCTGTGAAATGTGCAATATACAATCATGACTTATAACCGTAGTGCACAGTCAAATCTACAGACCCTGATGAAAACATTACCTTGAAAGCGCTAACAACACAAACTACAAAGGGGATGTGTTGCCGCTGTCGTCTCCTGTCGTGGTCTTGTACTCTGGCTAAAGTGGGTTCACTCTGGCTCAAGAAAACAGATTAGTCCAGTAGCTCTTTACACACACTTGGATCCAGCTCTGTGTTGAATGTGCTTTTTTAATCAATATCATGGTGATGATTTAAAACAAGCTCTTTGAGACACTTAAACAAGTTTGGAAAGTGTAAGGCTTCATTTATATTAGAAAATGTGAAGCTTTTTGAACTGCATTGAAAGCATTGTACAAATATATGTTTTGCATTATTAATACTGCTAATAGTGTTATAGCCTCTTTGCATAGAAAATACTCCCCTAATGTTCTGTTTCCCTAAGAACCCCACCCTGGAGTGCACAAACTCTTGTGATTCCGATGTTGTGAAAGATAGTTTATTTGTACTCAAGGCAAATAAGTTTTGGACAACAATGATGAAAATACTGTTTAAATAACAATAATGTAATGTAATAATGTTTAAATCATCATTGTACTGTATACGTGACATTATCTGTCTTTTTATCTCTGAGCAGTGAGCAGGTATTGATCTGGTCTGAGTTAAGCCGAACACATTCTAGAATCAATGTTCTCCTTTTGTAATAAGGCAAGTCGTGACTGATGACTGACCTCACAGCGTCCAGCTTCTATCTCCTGACCAGATAACTTCAAATCTATGTTGCACTGGACACACTTTATTCTGCAATCATTTTGTCATTTCACGACAGGAGATCTTGTTGCCGTTGGTTATTTAGGGAAAAATGTTCTTTTTGCTTTTTATTCACTTACTCAATTGAATATTTTGTACATAAAGGTAATTTTACAGCACAGATGTATGTGTTTGATTGGCAGCTGTCAATCATTCTTAGCTTCTAGAACAATGTATGCATCAAGCGACAGATGTTTTCACAGCATTAATCCTTCTTTAATTGTCAACATTTTACATCTTTATTGTTTGTGATTCTAATTACATCAGATTATGAAAAGTGGATTTAGTATTATCTATCTATCGCTTTAGTTTTCGTAAAATATAAATGTTTTTCTGGAGTTGAGAGAAAGCAAAAAAAAATCCACAATAGGCTGTTGTTTTCAAACTTGTAAGAAACAGTCTTATGGGTCACTTTATGCCACTTTGGGCTTAGAGCCGTCTGACAGAATAAAGTGGATTATGGGCTTCACCTTTCCCGTCTGAAAAAGCTGTCTGATAAATCATATCAAAAGCTATTCTTGAATCAAACTTTTTTTAAGATTAGGCACTAATTATTGGCAGATGACTTTCCGGAAAGTATGGAAACCTGTGGAAAGTCTGATTCTAGGGAGAAGAGAAGAGATAATCATGTCACTGGGGTTTGGGATCCCATGCATCCCTCTGTCTTGTTTCACATTTGTTTGGTTCTATGGAACAAAATTGAGGAAAAAGTACCAAAAAGAACATACTTTGGTTTTCCAAGGTATAGCACTACTAAAACAAGCTCTTTCTGGGTTAATTATGGCTTAATGATGTCTGAAAATTATCTTTAAAAAAATTATATGCTTATGACCTAGAACTACAGTAATTAAGGTTTAACCCAACGGAGGACAAAGAACTAGAAATAATACTGAAGTAAACTATGCATTTTAGGTAAATTCTGGAAATAATTTAATGAATCCGTGGACCACTGGGAAAAATCGTTTGGGTGCCACCGTTCGAGAAACACTAATATAGAAGAAATCCAAATCTTTTCGCTGAGAATCTGTACTGTAATAAGCAGACGTCACTCTGATACCAGAACTTTCTCACTGATAGCTGCAGTAAAATACACTCCAGCACGTTTGGCCTAAAAAGTGAGGATTGCTCTTATCTAGTGCTGAGCCATCTCCTCTGTTTCTCCTGTGACACAGAAAACGGACAGAGCCAGCTAAAGCTCAGGACAGGAACCGCAGGTCAAGTTAATGTGTCACCAACTTTGGCTTTGCGTATCCATTGTGAAACGAGTGTAGGATACGTGCCGGGACCATGCTGGGACCATGCAGGGCGGAGGAGGAGAGAGGGAGGGGCTGTGGAGAAGGGCTTATCTCAGCATTTGGACTGGACGTATAAAAGGTTGCAATGGACGCAGGCCCCACAGGACATGTTGCTGGCAATCTCCTCACACTAACTTATTTATTCTTTATTACTAACTTTATCTTCAAATATCAGCATCAACCATGGGAGTGGCCTACAGTGTTGGAGAGTAAGTACAAGAACCTTTTATTACAATTATATTATTCTTATTCTAGCAGTTTAGTGTCTTAGTTACAATACAATTATAGCTCAAATGTCGTGACAGTTTTGACACTTTTCTTGTTATGCTTAGTGTTATTTTGTCTTTAAATTGTCTCAGTGATTTGTCTTATATGTTATGTTATAAGTATGGATTTTCATAAGCCTCATGAATCTCGGTTTGCTATTAGTTTAATTATTCACTATATTGACCTTAGTCTCTTTTGAGAACTTCCCTGAAATAGAAATTCTTTGGAGCGCAAACACAATTTTCTGGACTTTCTGTAAAGCTGTGGTTTGAGCCTCATGTGCTCCAATTATAAGTGGGAACAATCGCTGCGCAGATAAAGATCATAGTTCACCTGCGTTGTCCATGGTAAATGTAAAGGAAGGTAAAGCTGATGTCTGAGGATTGGATCTGTTTGATCTCTTTGAATAATCATATATGGGGTTTTAACAGTTGCCTTTCACATCAAGCAATCAGGCAAATGTCACTGGAAATGAGATTTAGAGACTTGTAAGTAAGAAAAAAGCTCCAGGCAGAACACATGTAAAATCCGTATTAATCTTTGGTTTGGGGTTCAAAAATCTCCAGGTTCATCCCAAAATGTTGGATTTGAATCTAAATATAGGCAAACTACTAGAGGGATGCATCATTTTATTTTATCAATTGGCTGAAATTGAAATTAGAGTAAAATCCAGCTGTACCTGCACAGGCACGTCAATGAAGCAAGGAGATAATGAAATAGATGACCTATTTATTACATGCTGACTAATCATGCACAGAGGCGTTTGGATTTTCCTTCCTTTGTCCGCTGTCAGAATGCTGACTTTGGACTTCACTTAACCCACGTGTCACCTCTGCAGGGTGGACCACCTCTACACTTTCTTCTCACAGTGGTCTCCAGATATCTCCACTAAATGCAATAAGACAAACAAGAAGGCCCGAGCTCCAGCCTACATTATTCGTGAGAAGAATCATAGCCGTTATCTGGTGTTGGCACAGGATAAAGCTGCTCTGATCGACAAGTTACTGAGGGACGCTGCGAATCCAGCAGCCAAGAACTGGGAGGTATAATTAAAAATGACTTATGGCACGCATTGGGAAAGTTGCATAGAGATGGATCAGTATGAGTCAGACAATTTTAAGAGCGAGAGTTTGTGGTAAATTCAGTTGATAAGTTTATCTTGTGAGCTCACCATCTGCCGAGGACCAGGCCGCCTCCTAAATAAATGTAAAAAGTAAGGTTATTGTTAGAAGGCATGTAAAATCTCACATATCTAGTTCGAGCCTTGGCACTGACAAAAAGTTATTCTTTCTGTCTTTCTGTGTGTTTGAGCATGCACTTAGTTATGCATGTACGTATGTGTTTCATTTGTGGGTCAAATTAACTTGCAATTCTCCAATGAATTGTGTGTAAGTATAGGTTAGGTTATTTTGGCACTGCCATTCACATACAGTAAACTTCCAACATGGATGGGAAAGTGTTCTCTCCAGATATGGGCATCCTTCCTGCACCACCTTCCTGTTTTACAAAGAAGTGAAACTTAGTGGTGGTAGATTTAGCCAATGGGCTGCACTGCACCATTATTTCCACCAACGGCTTTACAAACATAGGAAATAGAAAGCATGAAGGCGGTTATAAAAGTGAGTTGGTGCACATGTGCTCCTGTATGAATGAGGGAAAGACAGGAGCGACATTATGAAGGTGCAACTAGACCAGATACAAGTTTTCTATTATGCCAAGGGACCAATAGAGCCATATGTGCAGGTAGGACCACAATGTTTCATGTTTAAAATAGTTTCTGCTGCTATTTGTATACATATAGCTATAGTCAACTGCAAAAACCCTACTGCTCTTTGGGTTAAAATAGTGGTGGTAGAAATGAGTGTGATGAACCTCATGTTATGTTCCAGATCATCACGGTGAACAAGCCCAAGCGAAAACTCAGTCTGAGCAGCTTTGAGGAATCAGACGAGCCAGCGTACCAGGATGATGTGGAAGACACTCTGCCTGTTCTGAGTGAACAGAGTCTGCTGCTGGACCATCTGCACCTGGAAAAGGTAAGAATTATTCAGGGCTAGAGACAAGAGACGACTTTTTCCCCACACAAAAATTATACATTCTGTTTGCTCCAACAGAAAGTCTTGTCAAACTAATATTTTTTAAACAATTCAGACCACAGCATGCTGTCTGCATCTTATAATTTTTATTTTTATTTTTTTTAAATCTATGAATACTTCAAAAATACGTGAGAAAGATCCCTATGAGTCACTATTTGACACTTTTGGCTCAGTGAGGATGGTTCTCACTTTTCTGTCTAAAAAGCTGGATTAAATATTTATATATATCATAATATGATAAAGGCCAGAAATACATGCATGTGACGACTCGGGATACAATCAAACTGTTTAAGAGCGAGTGACTAGTTAGATAAATATTAGTTCTTACAGAGTTACTTTTTTTGATTGGAATATTAGGTACCCCAGCTTTAGTATTGGTCCTCTTTTAGGCTTCTTTAGAACTACCCAAAACATGCTGCATATTTTTGAGACCACACATAATCATGTTTATACATTATCTTTGTCAATATACTGTATATAAATAACCACCAAAATCTATCCTTATCCAGGTCTCAGCTCATTTACCCGTCAGAACGCAGGGCTACCCGTGGCAGTTGGCTTACAGCACCGCGGTTCACGGCAGCAGCCTGAAGACTCTCTACAGGAACATGGCAGGTCTGGACAGCCCCGTTCTGCTCGTAATTAGAGACATGCACAAAAAGGTTTGTATCTCGCCCACCAGTGAACGTGAACAGTGAGTGTCTGGTGCTTAACGTTGCTTGTTCTCACTTGGCAGGTATTTGGTGCCTTCAGCTCGGACCCGTTCAGAATTAGCCACGGCTGCTATGGAACTGGAGAGACTTTTCTGTTCAGTTTTAACCCAGACTTCCAGGTAAAATGCATCTGCTTCAGTAATGGACAACATTTGCTTTTTATTACCATAATCTAATGCATCTATTGTGTTGTCTTTATCAGTTGTACAAGTGGACTGGGGAAAATTACTACTTTGTCAGCGGCAATTTGGAGTCTTTGCAGATTGGTGGAGGAGGGTAAGCTTTAGACTGTTACTTTATCCTGTTGCATCATCGATCTACCAGTCAATTTTCTTCTTGGTTCCTCTTTTCTTATCAACCATGTTTTTTCTGGTATATCATGAGATCTAAGCTTTTGCCTCTGCGTGTTTTCTCTCTAGAGGATGTTTTGGCCTGTGGTTGGACGCTGATCTGTATCATGGTTCGAGCTTCTCTTGTCCTACTTTCCACAACGCTCCTCTCTCCACACATGAAGACTTCATCGTGCAGGATCTGGAGGTTTGGACTCTTCACAGCTGATCCACCGCTGTGTGGATTCTAGCACAGACTCCAAATCCAGAAACACAGACTGTTTGGTTCATAAGGTTTGTTCTGAAGCTGTGAAGGTCTCTTTGGAGGGGTCTGGCTTTAAAGACCCCTGAAGCAGAACGGGACACAATAGACTTTTATGCCCATCACCATTATGGAGTTAGAATTACTAAATTTAGAGAGAAACTGTTGGATAATGCTTTGGTAAGCGTATTACCAGCCCAAGATTCTTTCAATAACAAGCTCTTTTGGATTGTTTGCATAAGATGCCTGGTGGAAGTATTGTTTGCACTGCAAAAAGGTAGTAAGTAGTAAGTAGTAATCTTTATTTATATACCGCCTTTTCACTGCAGATCTGAGTCTCAAAGCGGTTTACAATTGTTAATTAGGGGCACTTGTCCTCTCACTTCACACAGAGATGGGAGCGGGGTTGCCAGTACAGGAGGCGCATGCCAGAACTATTGGACATATTTTTAGTGGTAGGGGAAACCGGAGTACCCGGAGGAAACCTACGCAGACACGGGGAGAACATGCAAACTCCACTCAGAAAGGCCCTGGTCCGACCGGGATTTGAACCCAGGACCTTCTTGCTGAGAGGCGAGAGTGCTATCCACTCAGCCACCGTGCCGCCCAAAAAGGGACACAGTATACTGTCTAAAAGTTTGTATAAATTGCCATTTGCTTATTTGTTTTTTAACACATGAGTGAGACATGAGTTGACCTCTGATGGACTATTCAACCTATGTCTTTATTTTGTACTTGTTTCGTCTCTGTGAAAGGCAGTGCTGGCACTGCTAGTTTGTGTTAACTAAACAATAAATTTTATTTTTTATTATTGATCTGTTTTGTTGTTGTGATTATTACAAAACAAAATAAACCAAAACCCAGTGAAGCAAATATATGTCCACCAAACACCTGCAGCCAACGCACCATAAAAGTCTGACTTCCTGTAATCATCAACGGCTTTTTACTGTTGTTATTTCTGTAGACTCTAAATACAACAAACATCACAGCCCCTGATGAATGTTGGGATACAAAGTCAGGGGTTGCAAGATGATCTTTAAAATCCTATTGTTTTTGCAATCAAAATTATGACTGCTTTGAATGTTATTATTATGGTTTGGAAACCCCTCCTACATTTTGTGTTTTGTTTTTTTTTGTTTTTTTTTTTCATATCTTTGGTCCAGAAAGATAAATGAGAAACAATGTAAAGCGTATTGTAAATGGGGTCCAATTTTTGAGATAAGAGGTGAGACTTCAGAGCTCAGAGTGTTGTCATGGTCCCACAGGTGGAAGAGGACTGGTCAGTAGAGGAGGCATTAAGGGACACCGTGGAGACTGTGTCAATGCCATTGGTCAAATTTATTTCAGACGTATTTGTGGACCCTAGGAGAGCAGGTATGGGGTACACATTAGGGCCAACAGCCTAAATAATGGCAGAGGCTGGTCATCTGCTCAGACCCTGCTGCTGCTGTGTCGCTGTCGTTTGATCTGATGTCTGAGGCCCTGAGCGTTCTGCAGAGGAAAAAACTTGGGGGTTTTGTGGTTCCCAGCTCAGATAGATACAAGTGAAGTTGTGGATGTGGTTTGCAAAAGCATAGAAATGTTGATGTGGTGGTTGCATTTAGGGCAACTGCAGTGGTAGAGAATATATGGGACAGTGAAACAAAAGACAAGGCATTATATTACATTCATAAGTGTATTAATGACAAACAACAAAACAAACATTTGAATGATTATTTCCGATAGTCCTCCCTGTCACTGATCAGGGTCATGACGCCCCCTGGTGGACAGTTCTGATGTAGCGTTAAGTCTCTACACTCCACTGCTTTTTCCTCTGGAGCGCGGGTCTCTGCTCGATGCATTCTGGGATGGATTGATGTGTGTAATATATTTACAGTCAGGGCGATGGCACTCTCTGGGGCTCCTCCGGATGATATTCCTAAATCTAATCCCGCTGCGTCCGCGGAATATGACAAGAAATGCATTTTCTGCAAAATAGTAAACAAGGAAATGGGAACGGAGCTACTTCATTATGTAAGATAGTTGCAATACTATTCATATTGAGTCAGCTAGCTTAGCATTAGCCTGTCAATAAATGTTATCTAAGTAATAAATGTATACAACCGGTGTGGACATCTGTTTAACACACGAGCCTTTTATTGTGTTTACACAGTTTTCTCTTGTTGTTTATTATTGGAAGGAAATAATTTGTTCACACAGATGGTTAACATAATGAGTGGGTAAGGAAGGGGACATACAGTAGGTTGTTACCAGAGTAAAGAAAAAAGATCTATTTTAAAACACAGCACATACAAGTATTTCCCAAGACAATATAGCAGAGGATGGAATGAAATGGGGAAAGTTTCAAAGAGAGTGTTTTTTATTGAAATATTAAGAAAAGATTTAGATTTATGGATGTGGATTTTGTCAAGAATGATTATCAGCATAACGGCATAATATTTTCTGTTCCATAAAAAAACTCCTTCCTATGATGTAATGCAATGTTAGTAAGTGTCAGTCTCTAATTTCCAGGATGAAGAAATCACCTGCTTCAAAGACATCAGGCCAGCAGCTCCGCATCATTATCTGGTGGTCCCAACTAAACATGTTGGCAACTGCAAGTCTCTCTCAAAAGACCATGTCCCTTTAAGTATGTTTATGTTAAGAACGATCGTCTATTGTCATTACCAGTAACTCTGAAACTACTACCTGGCCTCTTGCACTTTGCAGTAAAACGAATGGTTGATTTGGGGAAAGAGATCCTGGAAAAAAATAATATAACAGACCTGGGCGATGTACGGTGAGTTTCTTTTTAAAAAACAAATTAAACTGCTTATCTTTGATGGACTGTGTAAGATTGATACTTTAATTGTGTTCTGCAGGTTTGGTTTCCATTGGCCTCCGTTCTGCTCCGTCACACACCTGCACCTCCACGTGTTGGCCCCAGTCACTCAGATGGGCTTCTTGTCTCGTTTCATGTACAGACTTAACTCCTATTGGTTTATAACAGTGAGTAACTATACTTCAGTCTATATAGCTGCAAAGTGGGCGGGGCTTAGCTTTCTCTAAGGGAAATTGACGAGGGGGTGGCACTGTGGTCCTGAGTAGAAGGTCCTCGGTTCGATTGCACCTCCAGACGGGGCCTTTCTGTGTGGAGTTTGCACGTTCTCTGTGTCTGCTCCTGTTTCCTCCAGGTGCTTTGTTTTCCTCTACGTTCCCCATACCACTTCAGAATAGAATAGGTATGAATGAAATGAGTGAACAGATGGTAATGAATGAAAGCCTTGTGAAGTGCTTTGTGAGACCTTTATCTGAAATGGTGTTATAAATACTATGTAACCATTAAAAAAAAACCAATAGAATTAAACGTTTTGTACTTTTTCTCTCTTTGTGTGAACTTTTTATCACCCTAATGCAGAGTGACAAAGCATTAGTACTCTTATTGCCAAAGGGAAAAAAAGGGCTGGTGTAAAATCATCTTATAGGATGTAACTCATCTCTAACTTTTTGATCCGATATGTTTAACTAAACGAATGCCTTTCTTTCATTGCAGGCAGACCAACTGATAGAGCTGCTCAACTCGAAGGCAGAGACAAACTGATATCACTGTGCATTGATTACACCTCTTACCTCTTAATGGGCATTCTGATTGTAACTAATTGTTTATTTATGATATAAAAGTATTTTATAATGATTGAATGAATGATTTAATGATTACATACAAAACATTTAAATGTGCTGGATTTGTGCATTATCATTATGTGTAACTACAAGTATTTACACAATTCTCAACTAATGATCAAACTTAATATAGAAGATTTGCCATGCCTTATTTGTTTTGATATGATGCATGATATTTATAACCTTGGTTTCAAAGATATTGTGGGGTATATGACAATTATAAATAGTATCTAATATTATTTAAATGCACTTTCTTGAATGAATCATAATAAACATTGTATGTTTTAATCAATACATTCCTTGTGTACTTTAATTTTTACGTTTATGGCCTATAGACAATAGATTATTGTTAGGGAAAGTAAAAGGCTTCTTTTTGTAAAAATGTGCCCCTTGTGGAACTGAGTGGAAGTGTGTTTTCGAGTCGGACTTATTTTTAAGTGACAACAACATGGCGGCGCTCGCCAGGCGATCATGCCTTCAGTTTTTGCTACATCTGGCTCAAGATAATTTAGATTTTAGATTACCGGTAAGGAACCTAAGCAATATTAAACGTTTCTGGGCATGTTGTGTTAGTTTTCTTTAATAATCTCTATAATAATAGCGTTATACTCTATTGTTACTGCTTTGTTCAAGTGATAATTCCCCTTTCATAACATGTTTAGAATATAAGGTACATCTCGACTGACTACTACTTTTTACACTGTCTAAGGAGATTAAAAGCCTGCTCGCTCTCCTCGGAAAATCATTTTCTCCAACTTTGAACTTTCAAGAAAAGGTGTGAAAGAGCATTTTTCACTGATGGAAGATGAGACATTCACTCACATTGCTGATGTCTGATTCCTGCAGGCTCCTTTTTGGTGTTTGGATGGGTTGTCTGAAGACGATATTAAACATGTCATGGCTAGATCCGTTTGTGCAAAGTAAGTAGCCATTTTGCATTAATTCTGATAGTTAATCTCGTATTTTAAGAATAATACATTTACCAAAAAATAGGTTGTGGTTTGTGATATATTTATGAATATTTTAGATCTGCGTTTGAACTCTGGGGCCATGGGAAAACACACAGTGAGCTTAAAACCTCCCTTTTAAACTACCCAGCAGAGAATATGGTAAGTCAAGTTAAATGGTGACAATGTAATGTTAAACTGACAACTAGTATTTTGTTTCTAGAGTCCATTCATGCAGAAAGACTCCACCTACAGAATCAATGTGTACACCTTCAACAAAACCCTGGAGTTTTCAGAGAGAATAAAACGCATTGATGTAAGTGCACTGTTGGCATTGGAATGAACATGTACATTCTTGAATTACCTTGTTAAATCTTGTGTTTAGGACATGGAGTATCTTCCATTTGAGGGAACAGTCAATCTTAAGAACCCACAGCATGTTTTCTGCCTGCTTGAAGATTACGGCACAGATCCCAACAACATTCCCGAACATCCAGACCATGTGTACTTTGGTCGCTGGGTAAGAAACGATATGTGATTATAACACCGTAGTTCCAATATCATTACAGTAATTGTGAACTCTAATAATTACGATGGATATTATATTACCCTCCAGATTGCGGATGGACAACGAGAGCTGATTCGGTCCCACAGTGTGAAGAGCAGACACTTCATAGGAAACACTAGTATGGATGCAGGCCTTTCTTTTATCATGGCTAATCATGCAAAAGTAAAACGAAACGACGTTGTATTTGACCCATTTGTTGGTACAGGTTAGTTTTTTTATATTGCTCTAATTCATGGTTATGGAGCACTGCTAGTAACGCTTTTAAATTGGCTGTTACACCTTTTCTAGGAAGCCTTTTGGTTGCTTGCTCACAGTTTGGAGCCTATGTATGTGGGACAGACATTGATTACAATATCATTCACGGCAGAGGTAAGATTTCTTGTCTAAATAGAAAGGTAAAGGTGCTTTATTAATCCCCGTAGGGCAATTGATCCTCTGCATTTGACCCATCCTGATGCCACTAAGGCTTACGTCTGGAGCAGTGGTCGCCGTAGTAACAGCGCCCGGGAACCCATCTCCAGATGTTGATGCTTGGCTTGGTCAGGACTACCGGAGCTGGAGGATTTAACCTAAGTGTGCATGTTTTTAGTGGTAGGGGAAACCGTAGCACTCAGAGGAAACCTACAGGGAGAACATGCAAACTCCACTCAAAAAGACCCTGTTCCGACTGGGATTCAAACCCAGGACCTTCTTGCTACCCACTCAGCCACAATGCCGCCCATTTTTTTTGTTTTTTTTACTTACTTATGAATTTGGGGTTTAATTACCATACTTTCTGGACTTTTTGGTGCACCTGTAAAGAAGCCGCACCAGCAACCTTTTAAAATAAAATCAATGATGTCCACATATAGGCCACCCTTGAATATAAGCCGCAGGTTTTCATGTTGTAATGTAGCAGATAGATGACTGTTGTAACTCGTCACAACATGATTTAGTGATGAGGTGTTTAAGAGTTTAACCGGTAATCATTCACCAGTCTATTTTGACAATAAGCGTCCTTTAGCTACTAAAACTTGATTGCGTCAAAATAGTAAGTCCTTAAACTCAACTCTAGTGTAATAAAAATACACTTATTAGCCGCATCGCTACATAAGCTGCAGGGATGAAAGTAGCGGTACAGTAAAAAAAGTAGCGGCTTAAAGTCAGGAAATTACAGTACGTCTTGTGTTTTAGGTCGGTCAAGTCGGAAAAATCAAAAGTGGAGAGGGCCGGATGAGAACATCAGAGCAAACCTGCGTCAGTACGGTACAGAGAGGCTGTATTTAGATATCATGGTGTCTGACGCATCAAAGGCCGTGTGGAGGAAAGCCCCTCTGTTTGACGTCATCATTACAGATCGTAGGTGTCCATTAAACTGCCTGAAGCTCAGCTGCCACAATGTTAACTGTATTTAAACACTTTGACAGCTCCATATGGCATCCGGGAGTCAACTCGAAGAACAGGCTCACACAAAGATGCCTATAAGCCTTGGGATAGCGCGTGAGTACACATTCTCATGATCATTAAAACATTGTTACTACTGAAGATGTCCTAATGCAGTGTCTCCCAACCTTTTTGAGCCATGGCACACCTCTTTCATTTAATAATCTACCACATGGCACACCACCAGCTGAAACTGATACAAATGATGTTACTCTGCAGCTTTTATTAGCCAAACAAAGTCAACCTCATCTCAAGTGTAGATATAGAAAATCTGAGAAGTGAAAAGTAGTATTTCTAATCGTCTAATTCTTTCTTTTTTCACATTATTTTGACCAAATAGGTGATATTGGATAATTTCCCAAGGCACACTGACGTTCCGCGACACACTAGTTGAAAAACACTGGCCTAATATGCCATATTTACATCGTGTCTTTTACTGTCTTTAATTCTTGCCCACAGGTTCGCAGAGTCACATGTCCCTGTGTCTCAGGCGTATCATCTCAGTGACATCTTTAAAGACCTGTTGAACCTCTCTGCGCATCACCTGGTCCTGGGGGGGAGACTGGTGTACTGGCTGCCCATCTACAGACCAGAGTGAGTAGAAAGATACAGGGGTTCCTCGTTCATCGCGGAGGTTACGCTCTAAAATAACCTGGAATATGTAAAGTCTGCGAAGGAGGTGTTTTATACACTTTTCTAGCCACCTGAACTCACGACTGCTGAAGTGCGATCGCAGAGATGGTAAACTGTCATGTTATATGATGTTGTATAGGATGTGTGAGAAGCATGCTGTAAAATTGCACACACAAAAATCAGCCAAACAGCAAAGGCCACGAAAGGTGAGGCGTGTTATAGCGAGGGACCACAATAATGAGAAGCCAAATGGTAAAGGACACATTCTAGTTTTGTGTGCATTATTCTCTTTCCATTCATTTAAATGACCCACGCATGTATCACTCATAAAACAGTTGGTGCATGAAAGGAAAAAAATAATTAAGGCTGGAATACCTTGTTTGAGAGGAGTTACTAGTTTGTCACCCAGAACATTTAGGTTCTATTACTAGTTTACAAATGCACATATTTTTGTCCTCTGTCATACTTCCTGCTTTAAAATCTGGCTTCTAAATTTTACTTTGCATAATGGGTCATAACGGTTGAACATTGATTGCCTGGCCTGCCAAACGATATGCTTTTTCAAAGACATATAGTCTGGGAACGAGCTTGATCTCAGCGAATTCCCGGTGGGCGTGGTTGACAGACTGCATCAACCAATTAGATGCACACAGGATATGACGCAGCAACTAGCGGCACCCAAGCCGTTTCAGTAAACACAAAACAAGGGATGGCGGCATGTCAGCTAGTGCAAATGTAAACGACTGCTGTCGATTTTAAAGATACGAGGAGTTATTAGCAACTCAAAGGTGAAAGGAAGTCCCGCCTCTCGGTGCGTGATTGGACCGATGTGGGTAAAATCGTGAAATGATAGGCTAGGAAGAGGTGTCCAGACGGTTCTTCTTTTGAACAGAAAGGAGGAGTGTCTGGCAGGCCAGGCAAGAACATTGAGGCCATTGAGTATCATATCAATGGAGATTTATTGTAAAATTATTGCCACATTCTCTAATCTAGAATGACTTCTAAACATTTGTAAAGAGCACGAATTTTGATTGTGGACTATTGGAATATTCTTTTGAGACAGAAAAATCTGAATTGCGCACACATAATGCTGCTACATGAGGTTATAGGTAAACTCCACCAGGGGGCAGTTGTGTACAATGAATAGAAGAAAACGTACACTTACTGACAACAGTTGCTACGACATTAGTCTGACAACGTACATCTGCAGTGGAGTCAAGTGGAGAGCAGTCTTTTTAGTCAGATTCATTTGGGGAGGAAGAAAAAGAAGGACAAAAGCTGGAGCTGCTGGAAGTCTGTTATTTATCTCCACAAAACTTTCCTTAAATTAACTTCAGATGCATCAAAAGTCCTTATGAAAACTGCATGAATGTCTGTAGCTTTAGGTCACAGATTCATTGATAAAAACAAAACTTAAATGTATTTCTCTCACACTACAAGCTGTTCCTAGTTGGTTCAAACGATTATCTTTTGGCTAAATCTCGGCCTCACTTGCAGGGACACCAAACAGGCCCTCTCGCTGCCATAGCAACAGCCCAGACAAACAGAGATGCACAAATCTGTCTGAGTTGGTGGCGGTCAGGAGAAAGTGCTCCTGACACAAAATATGCAAACACATACATCACTGAGTGTTCATAGGCCCTAACCCTGGTCGGCCTCGCGATGACAGAGTCTGCACTCAAGCTGCAGCCCACACTCACTTTTTCCACCTTCAGCACAAACTCTTCAACCTTACATATCTGAAACGCTGTTTAAAGTGATGCTGTGCTGAAAGAAATATTGCTTACACAGTACAATCTCTCTTGAAAACGTATAGAAACAATAATAGGAATGTGTGTGTGTTGCGATGTGAGAAAAACGTGTGTGTGAGTGTGTGGAGCATTCCGCAGCTGCACTGGTGGTGACCCGCTTTTTGGGAAATGGTCCGATTCCTGCTTCTTGCGAGAGATGTTGATGTTCCCGAATTTTAAAACATTCCTCAATTTTGGATGATTTTTAGTTTTTAAAAACAGTGGGAAAACCTTCTGCAGATATAATGATGATGATAATATTGACGATACGTTTTATTTATTATGTACACCGCATTTGCAGATACATGCAATACAACAAGCAAAAGAAAAAACTTACACCAAATGTAAAAAATGCATAAAAGGGATGAAATATAGAAACTTTATATTTGTGAAGTGAAGTCACATACTTGTTTTCAAGGTAAAAGAAAAGTTTTATGAGAAAAATTTCTGTGGAAGACAACATTTAGATGAACCCAAGCGAAAAGTGGAGCCTCCACCAGGACAGATGAGGAATGCACCTTTTTAAAGCTCAAAAATGCTTACACTCGAAACAATCTCACAACTTTTATAGTCTGCTCAATATTAAGTCTCATACGATGTTATAATCCTGAAAAAAGTACATCATCAATGCACTGTGGCATTCTTTGAAGTATTAAACAAACCGAAACTGTTTGTACGTAAGGCCTGTCAGAAAAAAAAAGCGTTATGTGAGATTTGAACTTTTTGAGACAACAAAATGAAAAGTCTCACTGTGTGTAATATCTATAAACAACACATTCTACTCCTAAACATAAGATAATGGAATATGTGCTTAATCGTAAATGTTTTTTCTTTGTTCCATACAATCCATAAAAACAAAAACACATGCACTTTTTGAAAGGATTGAACATTTTTGAACTTGACCTTAATAATAATAATAATAATATTATTATTGTTTGAGAAGCAGTGTGTAGAAGAGTGCGTGTGTTTAAGCCGGGGTCGTGTCTGTTGCAGTTATTCCGAGGAGATCGTTCCTCTTCATCCGTGCTTGCAGCTGCTCAGTAACTGTGAGCAGGTTCTGTCCAGTCACACGTCACGCCGCCTCATCACCATGGAGAAGATCAAAGAGCCAGAGGTGATGTAGTAGCAGTAGTAGCAGTAGCAGTAGTAGCAGTAGCAGTAGCAGTAGCAGTAGTAGCCGTAGCAGTAGCAGTAGTAGCAGTAGCAGTAGCAGTAGTAGGGTGACAAATGAGATCAAATACAACAATTAATCACTCATGTTAATTATAATGTTGTTTATCGACGTTGAGGCCTACATTTATTATTATATTAATCTGTTTACATAAATGGTATTGCAGCCGGTTTCATACATACTTCCAGGGTATGTATGAAAAAGTTTGTGAACCCCTGCCGTGGTGCTCCTTTAAAACATCTTGATGTATAATAAACGTATGAGTGTTACTATCTACTGTCACTTTAGAAGGACAGATTTAGTCTTTTGGGTTAGAAAAAATGAGAATGTTTGTGTGTTTGCAGGAAATGGACAACCAGGCCCACCAGCTGGACTCACGCTTCAGTCCGTATGAAGGACACAACGCCTTCAGGGAGAAGTATTTCAGTGGGGTAAACAAACGATGCATCAAAGAGGACTCTCAAGCTGAAGTCAATGGACAATAAAGAACGACAATGAATTTACTATTGTTTACAGACTGTAAAAACGAACGATTATTTGTTTTATACTTAAATAAACTCAAAATTTTTAAGAAGACCAAATCCTCCTTCTTGTCCTCATTCAAATTCCAAAGCTGTGTGTGAATTAATCATAAAATGAAGTTGTATATCCACTTCTTGTTTGCTCCTCCAGTCATTTGATTTCTGGATTTGAATTTATTTTATATGCATTAAACTGAGCTGAGTGAAACCTAATACAGCAGTGGTGTATATAACTCACGCTGATGAAAGTGTTTGAGACAAATGAGGGCTTTTGGTGCAGGATTGAGGCCCTTTGACAGGGTGTCCCCACCTCGCAGCCCCCTCAGCAGTTAGTCAGCAGCTTTTGTTGTCTTTAACCACAGTTTACGTGCAGAAGAGCTCATTATTCATCTGCACCGGGCCTTTACACTATACGGATATATACTCGTTTACACTGTTTATCGCTTGGGCCTCTGCCTTTCCATTCCCCGGTTTGCCCTCCTTCCAGACACATCACTCGATATCCAACTCGCCAACATTTGTGGCCAACATTGTTTACAGTTCCCACAGAGGCCTTTGTTTCCTCTCATCAGGAAATAAAGTCACTCCACGCAGCATTTTGACTTGATTTATTACTTTGGGGCTGCTGATCTTGTCACATTCTTGTTTATAACACAAGGCCAAAGCAACACAATTAATGCCAAATCCAAGGGCTGGGTTTTTACCTGTGTGTGTGTGTGTGTGTGTGTGTGTGTGCTGCGATGACCATGATATTAGATCAGGAGGATCCTCACCAGACTTCTCTTGTTTAGTCCTGATCTGGGCACAAGGAGGAGGCCAGTCCCATTTGGTGGTGGGAAGCCCTGGAGAATCAAATTTGAGTTGGGTGAGAATTCAGACACAGATTGATTTTTCGTGTTTATAAAGTGCTTCACTCTCTGTCACCTTTATTTCGGATTGACTTGTTCCTGTGTGCATCTCAGATCCTCACACTTCAACCTTCTCACTGTTAAAGGAATAGTTCACCGTTTTTACATACTGACATATGTTCTTACCTTACCTTAGACTAGTTAATACGTACCTGTCTGGTCTTAGTCCGTGCGCTCTGTCATGCAAACGGAGCAAAAACGGGAGCACAACCGCAGCCTCCTCTGTATATTTTGTAGCACCAAAAGGTAGCTCCCGCTAGAATCTACCAAACTCTTCCAAGTGTTCCCTATTAAATGTATATAGTTACGTGACGTGTTACACTGCAAAGTATAGTAACACAGAAATGTAACAGTCGATTTTCTCAGCGGATAAAACGGGTACTATATTGTGAGGCGTAGTAATCTGAGGGGCGCTACGTCCGCGCACTAACTTCTCTCCGGAGACTTCTCTCTCGCTCACTTCCGTCAATAGAAGCAGCGTGACTTGTAATACACACAGTAGCAGTGCGCAGAGAAGTTAGGAGCGCTACGTCCGCAATGTCTCTCTTGGTGGCCCATTGAGCTGGAGTCTTTGTTTAAAATGTGCTATCCAAATGAAACAAGCAGAGCTAATTTAACTGGAAGCCAGTACAATACCCTGAGAACTGGACTTATGTGATTGTACTTCCTGGTTCTACTAAGGACTCAAGCCACAGCGTTTTGAATATACTGCAGCTGTTTTGCAGCTTTTTCGGAGAGGCCAGTGAGCCGGCCGTTACAGGTCAAATTTGTCTCCAATAGGTTAGACTACTATGCACTATATACATATTATGGTAGTATTTGAAGAGAAAAGGTCCCAAGATTGACCCCTGTGGCACTATGCAGGTCACAACCACGTGATCTTAATCACATAAGTCCTGTTGTGTCAGCTTGTTTTACAAGCCTTTTTTGCTACAACTTTCCTAGTAGTCTCTAAGTGTGTAATCTTGATACATTATTACAGTACTAATTTGCAATTCTTCCTTTATTCTCTACAATCTTTGCTGCAGACAATAGATTGCCCCTGTAGGAGGCACTGTTCACCATTCTAAATGTTCAAATGAGGTCTTAAAGTGACCTTTTTGCCTTTCTCTTGCCCTTACTCCTTTCTGCCATAACATGATACACATTTCCTTCAACATTTAAATTATTGTTCTATATTAAATTGATGTATTTATTCAAAGCAGGGAGCATCCAATTACAAACAAGTATAATCACAATAAAGACATAATTATCAAACAGATACAGCAGTTCCGTAGGCACTCTGTATAAACTCTAAATATCAGTGCAATCTGGCTCTCTAGCTCGCACTGGCAAAGCAGAAGTATTTTCAGGAGTACACAGTATATTGCCAAAGGGCCACTATATTAAAGCTGTGTGTGATGGCATTCCCATAGCTTCACACATCCGAGTCTGACCAACACCTGTGCGTCCTGCAGCCCTCCGGTCACCCCTGTGCACCGGACACACCGCCCTGCAGAACCATGTAAACTGAGAGCTCTTATCTAGTGTCAGGGAGGAGAAGCCCACTGCACAAGAACCATTAAAGAGCCACAAATCACAGCCGTTTATCTCCCTCCACAGAGAGAAGCTCGAGCCATCTTTAGGAAAAAAAACTCTATAATGATGAAGTAATATGTAGGAGTTTGAAAAGAGGGCTGACAGCAGTAGTTTCGCCAAATGTAAAGCTATAAAACATCAGTCACGTGTCACACCTTGACCAAAAGTAACGGCAGTGAGACATGACTAGTGTTAAAAGGGAATCAAGTGTGTGGGACCAGGCATTTGAAGGATATTAAAATGTAAGTTAGTTTGGCTTTTTTTCAAACCTGCAGAACTTTACATAAATTTACATTAACACAGGTTGGATCAGCATTCAACACAAGAATACACAATATGTAATTAATCAACATACAGAATACAAGTTTGTTACTGTGCGGTACATAGAGTAATGTACAATACCCTACCATGGGGTATTATACACAAAACATACACACAAACACACATCATGGGGTATTAGACACAAAACACACAGACACACACAGTGGCCCAAACACTCTCTGACCAATACCCCTCTCTCCCATCACCTGCTCTGTGCTAAGGGCATCACTCTCTTTCCTGCATGTACTTTTTCAACACTTTTAATACATTGACAGTCTGATTGTACTTCTGATTGTGTGTATTCAAAAACTAAAAGAATCTGGAGAGGCCTTTACCATGAAAAGTAAATCTACACTTCTGCTGACCTGAAAGAAATCTCTTCTCTCTTTATCACTGTTGAATCGTCCTAAACAACACGCACAAAGGGGGAAAAAGTACACACTATGAGTATGAATAAAAACATTTGGGTGATTGCTGTGCCTCAGTCAACAGTGTGTGGGTGTATTTTGGTCAGTCCATGAGCCCCAATTGAAGCTAATGGTGTTTGTGTGGCTTCCTGCGGTTGCCATGGCTGTTCTTCATTAATGATAGAAACCGCTGGATGTCTCCCTCACACCCAGTTTAATGAGTCCTAACAGCCAAGTGGGTGCAGCAGACGCACTCGGAGCCAACATGGCAGACGAGGTGCCAGTGACACGTTTCCTCTTTTCCGAAGCTTATAAAGTCTTCATAAACAAGGCACCAGTGAGAAGCCATGTACAGTAGGATCATTAAGAGACCATTCATTTGTTCAAGTGTTTTCCTTCAGTCTAATACCAGCTGCCCCAGGGCGGAAGACGAGGAAACAACTCTGGTTAATAACAGTCCCCACCGATACATTTAGACTCCATTATGTGAAGTCTCAAAAACATGTATTTTGTTTTATGTTCAGGAAAAATGCTACTGCCAACGGAAATATCTAATAAGGCAGGAAGAGAACTGCTTTAAATCACTCACTGCTGGTTCATAACTTTCCAATTTGTTTCAAAATATGATACTTTTTCCCAGTCAAAAAATCCTATTAAATTCTGCCTTACCTTTTCAAAATCAGATTAGACTATCGCATTATATCATTTGTATTCATTCACTCCCCACGGTGGGTAAACTACTACTGTAACCACAGCTGCCCCGAGACAGACTGACAGAACTGAGACAAACAGTATGTGCCACCGGCCAGCCGCCCCACAGTAGCACCTGGTGTTTCCAGAGGTCTCCCATCACCAACCCCTGCCCAGGATCAAGCATTTCACCTGCAGTTGGTGCCACACTATTCATGCAAATGTATTCATTACTATTGCTATAATGAAAACAAACATGTTACTATTAGATTACATAGCATTACACATAAATAAAGTAATGCGTCTTCTGCATTTGTAAAGATTAAAGTGAAGAATCAGCATCTCACCATCACAGAAGCACGGATTCATTCATTCATATATTAAAGGATTGACTCAAATCCTGCCCGGTTATCTTAGTGCCATCAGTAGAAGTAGTTTCTATAGCAACCACAAGGTTAAAAAGGAACCAAAGCTTTCCTTATTTACACAAGAGTTATGGACTGATGAGTATCTTGCAGTCGAAATAAAATGTTCATGTGTACTTTTGTTTTTAATGTTATTACAGGATTCCATTTTGACTTCAAACTGCTGTGAATATTTCTGTCCCAACAAGAAAAATCTTTAGTCAATGGCACAAACATAATCTATTCTGTAATTCTTCTTCATTATAGTTTGGTTCTTGGAAGGCCCGAGGATGAGGGTTGATGTGGGCCAGGAAGCATGCATCATCTTTGAGTGTTTTCCACGGCCCTCATACAGCTGCACAGGTGAAGCTGTCTCCAGTACGTGCCCATATGCGCCTCTATCCTCTCATCTACTCCTGCTCTGATGTCCACTCACGATTCTTTAAAAAGCTGCAACAGGCAACATTTTAGGGCTCAATACATCTGTTCATTTGTCTTTGCAAAGAAGCTAAAATAAACCGCATCGTCCCGCATTGCCACAACAAACTGTTCCTAGACCAATTCTATAACCAAATATTATTGAGTCCAATTATTGCACCAGCCCGTACAGTACTTTGAGACATTTAAATAGCACATAATAAGACATAAGACTAAAA